GGTAGCTTTGCTAGCTATGAGAGTCATCTTTTGAACAATTGATAAAAAGCACGACGTTCATCATTCGTATTCGTAGTTCATCCGGTCACTGGAAGCAATTTATCGATTTCCTGTTTCAATAGCTGCTGATTGTCTTGAAATTTTTTGAGTACACCTTGTACCAACGGATTGGTGTTATTCGAGAAGCTGTTCGCAATCACATCCATGTCATGCAATATTGATTTTACAGCTGCGCTGACTGTTGTACTCTGATTTGGATTCACTTCTGAAAGTTTCACTCGATTTTTGGTTCAAAGCGATTCGGGAATGAACCATTTCGCTTCAGATGCATTTTAAAATATCAAAAGTTTAATGAGTTTTTCGAGTTTCTGAAAGTCATCACTTGAATTCAACCAGTTGTCTTTCACCAATGCTGTAGTTTAGTGTTCATAATGTTCACATCGCTTTCGTCAGTTCCTCTAACATACTCAATTTTACAAACGACCTCCTTAGTTAGAAACTGTGGGTAATCTACGAAGTAAAAGTTAAATTCATTTGGTTGAAGTTAAATTTATTCAGTTTCCAGAGATTTTCATATTTTTTGGAGTCCCATTTGACAAGCTCAACGAAACAGCAATTTATCAATAATGTGACAGTGCAACATAAGGGAAAGAAACGTCAGCTGAATGTCAGTTTTATATTGCTAGAGAGACCAAAAAATTCTGGTAGAATACTTAAAATTCATTGCATCTCCAGCTGGATTGCCATGATCTTTTTATGTAAATTCGAATTCGAAGCAAAAAAGTTGACGCAACCTCCATTACCCTTCAAATTTTCAACCAGAAGCGATAGAAATATGTGAGTGGAATTCTCAAAATACCAAGGTATGCTTCAACATGAGCATGGATCAGCTTCAGCGTGAGTCCCGTGGTAGGTTTCAGTAGATGTTCCAAAAGACGTTTTACTGTTAGAGCCTGGGTATATCTCACCTGAGCCTAGCGTATATCTTACGCTCAGTCCCGTAGTGGTCTCTGGTCTAGGCTCGAAAATAACCTCATCCGGAGCCCGGGATAAACGGCAACCTGAACCTCATGTTAAGTCTAAGCGTTGGCCAAAGCTTAACCTTCTTTGCGCGTCTCATTCTGAGACCTAAAAGCCATCGAACTGAGCGTGAAGCTGAGCCTCAGCCTGAAGTAAGCCTCACTTTGTACTTTAGTGTGTTTCAGTAGGTGAGAACAATTTTATTACGTTTGATGCACAACTTCGAGATATTGAGTTCAATTTTATCAAAAAGCAAATGTGGAGCAAATCCCGTCTTTACTTATCATTAGCATAATTTCGAATCCGATTCTCAATTTTTTACGTAGCATAAGAAAACTTCCAGATTTTGAATTTAGCTTTCGAAGTTTAAATATACGATAGTCAACTTTTGAATTGGGACGGGATCGGAATTTCGACGAGCCTCATATGCTCCCAACAGTATACCTAATGAGATAGAAAATTTTCTCCTGCTATCCGGCTTTGTTTATGATCGTTTGACATGAAATGCTTCAAGTGAATACTGTCTTTACCTGATAAATTCCATAACGTAGAATTCGTCCTCCCAAACCACGTCCCATTGATAGCACGATTACAGTCAATAATCTTCTTGATTAACAAGTCTGTTGCATTGACAGTCTGATTTTGACAATGACACGACGAAGACCTCTTCTGAAGTTTCTTTGGTGGTAGAACAAAATCAACGCTTTTATTGTTCGTCAACGATACCAGATTTTTTGTTGAAGAAGACCCGAAAGGATCCTCCTCGCCTATAATTGTGACATGTGATATTGGGTCAAATTACAAATATTTTTAATGAAGAATCTTTAATTCAACCTCAACATCATTATCATTTTAGCATCTTTCGGGTAGCAGTCGAAGTTTCAAAATGCTCATTCAGGGCATTTCAGCTCCATTTATGTTAATCAAAACTGTTTTGTATCGGATACATACACAACGGTTTCCTGGGGATGTTCCGCAAACATGCGAATATTTATTATTTATTCATAAATCCGTTGAAAGTACCATCACCGATTCGGCGCTCCATCGTTAATAATTCTCCAAGTTGTCAGTTTTGTTGTAATCATTAAGTGATTCGGATAATAAAATATTTAGACTGAGGCCGAAGAATTGAGGACCTTTTTTTTCGAGAAATGAATGACCGAGCAAAAATTTGTGACTTTACTGGTTATCATCAACAAAGTAGCATGTAACATATCCTGTTCAAGTCAACATCATCAGTGTGAACCAAGAAAAGTTGATGAATTTATTAATTTTTAAGAAAGAATCATTATTGATTCATCAGACTTTCGTTATAATTGCCCAGCTGTCTGCTTATCAAATGCGCTTTTATGTTGACAATGAGTGAATATTGCCCTCCATGTTATGAGACACTTGTAAGTGGAAACATTTCATATTGCATGATCGATCGTCACTTATTTACTTCATATTTTACTTCGTACTTTACTTCGTACTTCGTATTTTACTTATTTTACTTCTCTTTACTATCGTACTTATTCAGTAAACATAAGGAAAAGGCGTGAAAGAACATTGTCTGACCGAAATCGTGAAGTACTTTACAGGATGGTAGGGAGCGGGTTCGAATTTGATGGTTATAAAAGCTGCAAAATTGCGCTCAACCAAATTCTCGGAGCATCAGTAATACTAGTACACCACTCGGTTCCGAGCAAAACTTTCATCCGCGATCGGGAGTCGAACCCGCAAAGTATGAGAGGCAGTGATTTGCTTTGTATACAGCAAATTCGGACCGTACTAAATTGACGACTGTAACAACTAACGTTTGGATTGATGAATTTTGAGAATGTATTTGATCAGAAGCTCAAGACCATTGCATTTATCAGTTGAACAGTAGCAACGTACAGAGTGGTGATTCACCGATGAACTTGTCGTATCGCAAGCATCTGNATATAATCCCCTACAGAGTTCAATGATGAGAAGGTATTGGTAAAATATAAACGAGAACGTCTTACCCAAAAAGCAGCTTTCAGCGGTACAAGTTGATGTGCAGTTGAGTGTGTCTGCACCTTGACAATTCAAGCACTTCACTAAATTAAGTGCCTCTTGAATGAAAAATGCAGAATGTATAAACACAATAACAACTCGTTTCATTTGACATGCAATGAAGCACTTTCAGATGAATGCAGTTTAAACTTTTGATGAGGATACTCTATTCGATGGTATGGGAGGAAGGACAACTGCAAAATGATTTAGCACGAAAATGTGAATTACAAATGCTTGTTGAATGCGCTAGCTACATTTCATTTATTGTGGTGCAGCTGATTAGAGTGTCATTATGAAAGGTTCAATCTGATGTTCGTTACGTGTAATTGAGTGTGGTTTTTCTCAAATCCACAAAAACTACTCATTAACAGTGGATATTCATCTCATCACGGATGCATAACGACGGTACGCTGAAAGATTTTGATAATCCGAAAATTGAACATTGTGGATATTTTCTACTGGTGCCGCTTTTCATTGTATAACACACTGCAATTGATTTCAGCAATTATTTCTGGATTTTGCGACGATCATTTCATGATTCATGATCAACAAAGCGCCAAATAATTTGGATTTCTAAGAGCGGAACCCAGGCCGACAATGAGTCATTCGTGCTTCTTGCAATGGATTTCTTGAAAAAAAACTGGATTCCCTCTAATTTACAGTGTTGTTTAGTGATCGAC